TTCGAATATGATCTTTTACTCCAACCGGGGGCTTGAAATATCAGAGATTTCCCTAAAATTGTATAAAATCCAGGCTAGCGCCGAAACTATCACTTTCATGACATCGCGTATTGAACAAAATTTTTTTAAAATTGTGTTTTACATCGAAAAGGTATCGGGTGTGATGACTTTAGGACTGATCGTTCCCGAGATGTATGCGCAAACGCAGTGCGCCGCAGAACAAGGTGAAAATCTGGACCTGGCTGCCACGCGGTTAGGGCGTCCTACATATCGCCAAATTTCGATATTTGATTCGGACCTGGTTTCAAACGGTCACTTTCGGTTCAAATTCTTCAAATCTTCTGGTCTTGTCAAACTTTGACCCCACTTGGCCGTGCCCCAGGGGCCTAAATGCCGCCCCCTCAAAGATGATTTTTTTTAAAAATTTCGGAAAAAATCTTCTTCAATGAAACACATCATTTTACGGGCCTGTAGGCCTAGATTTTGTCCGTTTTGCTCCAACTCAAACCGTTTTCGAGATACGGGCAAATTTGTCCTTAAAACATAGCAAAGATGTGTACTATTTGGTACAATTTGGAAAATTGTGCCTAGAGATCCCAATTTTGATGGTATCAACACGTACGATAGCTTGTTTTAATCGACTTTTTATGCTCTTTCATTTAAAATTTTGTCCGGGTTGGTCCGACCTAAGACATAAAAGTTAGCATCACCAATTTTTGCCTGAAAAGTGGTTTTAATTGCAAAAAAGCACTAATACTAACTTGCCGTGGTTATCGTGACTTACTTTTAAAGGGTGGACCAGAATGTACCACATTCCAGGAGGCCTGTCAAGCTCAGGGGCTCCTAGATGATGCGCGTGAGTATATTGAGGCCATGCAGGAGGCCACCACGTTCATGACTGCCGTTCGGTTACGTTCTCTTTTTGTCACGATGTGTATTATTGGTGCCCCGGCAGCCGTAATATGGGACAAATGCAAAGGTGCACTCTGCGAAGATCATTTTCAGAGGCTACTTGACATGGATAGGGCAGAGAATTTGGCTCTGCTTCACATAGGACGCGCGCTTCGACGAAATGGGACGTCACTTGTAGAACAAGGTTCGCGTGACGTGACTGACGATGACAATGAGCTTGGCCGAGAAAGGTTACGGTATGGTGCTGACGGTCAGCAGGCAATTGTGGAGGAGTGGGAGCCTCGCCTGCAGTGCATCCAAAAGGGCAGGCTGTTGCGGGCTACTTCCTCCTCCTCCCATGTTAAAGCATAGGCGCCAAAAAAAGAAGCCCGCAACAGCCTGCCCTTTTGGATGCCCTGCTCGCCTGTCAGCGGAACAGAGAGAAGTCACACGTCAAGTGTTGAGTGCTGTTGCTGACGCTGAAGAGGGCCGCCCTGCTGTATGCGGACGTGCCTTCTTCCTTGATGCGCCAGGAGGTACGGGGAAAACGACCGTCGCCAAATATTTAGCAGCGAAATTAAGGGCAGAACAGAAGGTAGTCCTATGTACGGCGTCAAGTGGAATCGCGGCAATTAATATTGAGGGTGGTCGAACTGCGCATAGCATGTTCCGACTTCCACTAGATTTCAGCGATGGTTCCAAAGTTTGGGGTCTTACAAACGGAAGTCAGCGTGCCGATATGGTTAGGCATGCAAGCTTGATATGGCTTGACGAGGCGCCCATGCTTCATCGGTACTTTGTAGAAATTATTGATAGGTCCCTCCGGGATCTTATGAAAGTTGCCGAACCATTCGGTGGTAAGGTTGTCGTCCTGAGCGGTGATTTCCGTCAGTTGGCCCCTGTTGTACCGTACGCTACAACGTTAGCTGAAATAGCTGCTGCCTCATTGCGCTCCTCGCCGATCTTTCCTGGACTACGCCGTATGCATCTTACTGTCGCTCATAGGCAGGCTGGCAGCGATGACTATGTTGCATTCCTCATGCAAGTAGGGAACGGCACAATCGCACAGCACACACTCGCAGACGACAGCGTTGGTGTAGTGGGGTTGCCTTTAGTCAGCAGTGTGCCGGATGGATCAAATTTGATTAATTTTGTATTTTCTCGTGACCTGCTATCGGATCCCGATGAGTGTGCGAAGCGGGCTGTATTGTGTACACACAATGTTGATGTTGACGACACAAACCATCAATTGTTACAGGATGTGGAGGGTGATGAGATTGTGTGCGCTAGCGCTGACTTTGTACATGCCGAGGATTTGGCACCGGGGGAATTCATTGATGATGAACTTCTTCATCAAGCCACTGGCAAAGGTGTTCCTCCTGATTTGCTCCGGATCAAAAAGGGAGCAGTTTGCATGATAACGAGGAATTTAAATTCAGACGATGGGCTGGTGAATGGTTCGAAAGTTATCGTCGTCGATGTTACACCAAGACTTGTGATTGTTCGGCTACCGGGAAGCCAGGAGCGTATGGGAATTCCCCGTATAAC